CCTCTGTACTGTCAGGTATAGCCTCGACACTAGAACCCATGGCGGTCGGAGGGGCGTGCTTCTCCACGGGCGGCTCGTTTGTCATTGTTGGCTTTTTGGCCGTGTCTGGCACGTTGAGAGGGTCCTGAGAATCGGCGACGGTGGATATGTCTTCCTCGTTTTCGCTCCCCAACGCAACCTCACATTCATTGTCTGGTTTGATGGCAGCCTGTGCCCTTCTCTGGGACCTCTGCGGTCGCGGAGTGATATCGGGGTCGTCATTGGGAATGGTCCGTCGAAGGCTGATCCCTGAGAGCTGCTCGGCAGCTGCTCTCTTCTTCATGGCGGCCCTCTTGCTCCGTTGCATGGCTTCCAGGGCATCGTCTGAATCTTCCTGCGAGTCCACTGGGGGTAGGGCATCTCCACTGAGCCGCCTCTCTTGTGACTTTTTCATCGTTTCGTAGTGTGCCATGGGTTCGACCCGGCGTCGCAGCGTGCCCGAGGGCAGCTCGATGGGGGTCTCAGCGACAGCCTCATCGTCAACCCAACGATGAGGCGCTGGCGTCTCGGCGGGAAAGTGATCAGCTGCCGAACTGGGAGCTTGGGGGCTCGATGTGTGGATGACCGTGGGCGAAGTAATGTTGAATTGACGCTTGAGTGGCGATGTCTCAATCGGGTTCGGCGAGATGGACAGATGCTGGGGCAAGTTTGGCGAAGGTCTCGAGGACGTCGGGCTGTCTCCACCCTTGAAAGCCGACGACATGCCCTGCGTCTGCCCGAAGAGCTGGGACGGTGCGAGCGGCTGGACGCCGAGATTGCCAAGACCGACAAACGGGTTCGCGGGCGGCGCCGGTGTTTCTGGTGCCCAAGGCATCGTCTTGTACGGCGTCTGCCCTTCGGGTCGCCTCATGGAGGATTGATTCTGGGAGCTCGAGGCGCGCCTTCGCCAGGCGCCTCGCGTGTTGAGGGGGCCGGTGCCGTAGGGGATCGGAGATGATTCTTGGGTCGGCTGCATGTCGTGGTCGAAGAGATGGCCCAGGTTGCCAAAGTTGACGGCGCCCGTCTCGTCATCGTCGAGGGTTTTTTCCTCCTCAATCTGCGGCTCAAGTGGAGCGTCTTCAATTGCTGCATCGTCCCGCCGCGAAGCTGTCGATTGGGGGCTGGTGTTAATTTGCGAATGGCTCTCGTACTTTCGGTAATCGCGGTCATCGTTCTCCTGCGTGGGAGACGACTGCGACGTGTCCATCTTGGATTTCCTCGGATGACCTTTCGGGGTCGTGTCAGATGAAGCCTCGCCGGGGTCGGCTCGAGGTGTGGGTGTTTTGGTGGTTATTGTCGGAGCATCGTTCGTGGCCGGTTGAGGATTGTCATTCCGAGCATGGCCGCCGTCTTGACACGCAGAAGAAGGCTTGTTCAGTGTAGGCGTTGCAATCAGCAATGGTGGGGGCTGCTGGGGCGTCGTCGCCGCGGTAGTGTGCAGCTCTGAGGCTTCCGACGTTGGTTCGGGCGTAGGATCTTGGGACGCTTGTCGGGCCTGGTGGTTCGGCGTCAGTCAGTGCACGTCAACAAAGAAAGGCCACAGTGAATCTGCGCACTCGTTCTCCCGCCGTCAATGCCTCGTCTTTGAGAAACGGCAGACCTAGACCCTCAGGCTCTGCGTTCTCCAGTGCACTGATGAAGGCGGCAGGCTGTGGTGACGCGATCGAGTCGTCGCGATTGACGAGTCGCGATTCCTGGTTCTTGCACGGCACTGGTGAGCTGCCAGGCTGCAGGGGTCGATGCCAAAAGCGGGTTAGCGTTCTGTGGGCAAGCTGGGGCTCCCTGTCGCGTTCGTGTCACATCGGGCTGGGGTTAGGTCTCGGCGTACCTGGCCGACGCCAAAGCGTTGGATGTAGAGGGTCATTATGTGCTGGCTATCCTGTGATTCGTCATCTCCATTGAGGGCGGCGCGCTCTGCTCCCTCAAGCGACTGGTATCGAGGCATCGGGCGTGCGCATTGTTGGGAGGGCGATGGATGGTGATACGCGTGCATGGTGGTGGAAAAAGGAAAACCAGGTGAGTGGGGTAACTTGTGCTGAGTCTGGAGCGCGTGCACAGCGCGACATCACGTGATGGCGTGCCATTCACCATCTGCCCACGAAGGAGTCTTTCAGGAACTTGGCGACGATTACATTTGTAAGACTGATGTCTGGCTACTATGGGTGGAGGGACCCAAAAACATCTTCACTATTGGATGCTACATCTTTGGTTTGGCACTCGGGTTGAGATGTGAAACGGCAGCAAGGATGAAAATACAAGAACGCTGTTTTCGGTCCAGACTTCAGAAAATCACTCGGACGGTTCGCAGGGTGTCAAGTTTCGAGAAGATACATTCGCAGTCTACTACCCAGCCTTGGCTGGTGAAGGCTTTTCTACAAGGTCATGCCTAACAGGTCTAGGCCCTGGGATGAGATGGCAATACAGCCAGAATGGCAATGGGTCCCTCAGAAGCTGATCTAGTGCCTAGCCTTATTTAAGACCCTCCCGTACAGGTGCCCACCTACCTCCGTTGACGGTCCGCCATACCACGAAGACTGGATAGCCGAATGGGGCCAGCTGCTTCATCCATTCCAGTCGGCCAAGTTTTTGCATCTCATCGAAATTCTCATCGAGGAGTCGCCGACCCTCAATACCAAGCGGGTTAGGCTTTAGAGCCTAGTTTCTTGGATTCTTGGATGGCCAGCCATCCACCAGGTCTATCCTCATTCGTTCTTCATCTGGCATGGGAATGACTCCACGGTCTCTTCCGCAGTCGAATGATTTCAGCAGTTGTTTGACCTGGCTAGCCTGCGACGGGCTCTCGGCGCAGATGCTGACGCCTTCTCGTGTGCGTAGTTCCCTGACGTCCCTTGGATAAGGTAGGTAGGTTGCCTCCGAGGCGTGTAGACGCAAGAAGGGCTGGCACTGTCTGCCACTGGCATGTCCTATGCTCCAGCTGTCAGCCGCAATCAGACCCCAGCTCCATCGTACGCCGCTGCAGAAATACGACAATGTATCCGGGATGCAGCTTACAGGGATGAGTCTCAAGTTCATCCCCCCCAATCCGGAGAAACCTCGGGGGGGGTAATGGTATGCACAATTCAAGGTGCACGGACCCTATACAGTATATACAGTATATTTTGAAAAGTTAATATTCTAAGAAATAATAGATTTTAAATAGATTTTAATTATATATAGGGCATATACTTAGCATATGCTTAGTATATACTTAGCATATGCCCTAGGGAGCTAGATTCCTAAGGTAAGTTAGGCATATACTAAGCATATGCTTAGTATATACTTAGTATATACCCTAGAGAGCTAGATTCCTAAAGTAAGTTAGGTATATACTTAGTATATACTTAGTATATACCTTAGAGAGCTAGCTTCCTAAAGTAACTTAGGTATATACCTAACCTACTTACCTTAAAGACTTAATTCTAAAAATATATATATCTTAAGGATCTAGCTCTCTAAGATATATCCTAAGTATATATTAAGTATTTACGTTACTTACCTTAGGAATCTAGCTCTCTAGGGCATATACTAAGCATATACTAAGCATATACTTAGCATATGCCTAACTTACCTTAGGAATCTAGCTCTCTAGGGCATATACTAAGCATATACTAAGCATATACTAAGCATATACCTTATATATAATTTAAATCTATTTAAAATCTATTATTTCTTTAATATATACTTTTTAACTCTAAAGCATAAGCATAGTATATAATTATATTTATACTATAGAGTTATGAAATTGCTCTAAAATTATACTAACTACCCCCCCCCCCCGAGGTTTCTCCGAATTGGGGGGGGGTGAACTTGAGTCTCACCCCTGTCAGCTGTAAACTCCAATGTATCAGCCTTATCTGACCCGCCCATACCATCTCTGATCAGCTGCTGTTAGACTTGAACATAGGCTCATGTTGCTGGCATGTCCGATCCTCGCATGCCAAATCGGAGGCTGGCGTGTGGAAGACAATGGATGCTGCAGACAACCCAGCAAGGCGTCCTCTGGCCGAAACACATCGGTTATCTGGGACCTACAGATTAGATGAACCATGACAAACTTGCCTCATGCTTGCCAGGCCGTAGGGTCGTGGGAAAGGGGAGTTTGCACTGGCACGTGCCAACGGGTACTTTCTGACGTGGGCGGCGCCTTGTTGGCTGCGGACGCTGAGTGGGGGTTGAGTGGGACTCGAGGGTGATGTAATGATAGACTGCCGTTCGTGGGAATCACATGCAAATGCTGTTCATTTCATCCATCAAGAAGACATTGTTGATGAACAGTCTGGACTGGAAGACTGTTGATTTATTCATCTCATCTGCATCTCTTAAGTCATGAGATAATTCAGCAGGTAGATTTGGTACTCGAGGCAAAAGAACCAATCGGACAGAGCGGTGCCGAGGCACTTGCTGCGGTGGCCATGACGCCCAGTTTTCGCAACGAGGCCACGACGAGACGGGCAAGTGGCCACACGACTGGGCATTTTTGCGTCGGCGCGTTTTCTCATTGGCTCCCAACTCAAGGCCGTCGCTGCCTGCTGCGCACTCGGGGTCTTGCCAAGTCCGTGGTCCAAGTGAAACAGGCCAACTCGTCACCATTTTAATTGAAGCCATTCCCACATCCCTTTTTTTTTCCCCGTCATCGAATTCGACTCAACGCCTTCTGCTCGCCCATGGCTGCATCGACGACACATCAGAACCATCAGAGTTGGATCGCCAAACGCCCATCATGACCTCATCGTCCTCGCCTGCGGCCAAGCTTAGCGCTTACCTGTCGCAATTGAACCCCGTACCTACCTTTCCCGACTACACAGGACCCTACAAAGTTGGCACCGTTGACGTCGAGATCCCCGTCACCGAACTCGAATCACCGAGCCCCGCACCGAAAAGCGCTGCCGATATCTACACCGTCTCCTGCCGCATCTACTACCCCGCGGCCCCCGACTCGACAGGCAAGCCCATCAGCTGGCTGCCCTCACCCCAGCGCCACCATGTCTCTGCCTACACCCAGTTTGTCGGCATCAAGCCCCTGCTGGCCGACTTTGTCTCGTATGCCAACCCCTCTCTGTACACTC